CCCTGCCGCCGGTCAGCTGGCCCCATAAGGAAGTCAGTCGCGCTCTCTCTCGGGCCTGGGCGGGGAGAACTACAGCTCCCAGCATGCTCCGCAGAGCCGCAATGCATCATGGTAACCGGCAGCTGTGTCTTTCCGCCTCCGGCCGCCCGGTGGCCGACATGAACTACATCTCCCAGAATGCAAAGCGTTCGCTCTGCGCTGGCGGGAAATGGGGTTTTGCGTCCCGGAGCACGATGGATACTGTAGTTTGCAGCTGGCTCCGACGTGAAGGAGGCGCGATTGATACAGAGAGCCGCGCGCCGGCTCCTCCCCGGCCCGCCCGCCGCCTCTCGCGCCTGCGCCCTGCTTGCTACGCTCCTTGCCCCGACTAAGCCTCTTACGTCACTGTGCGGCGAGATGACGTCTCCCCCAAAGCCTCATTGCGTCACAAAGCTGTTCCGCCCGGCCCCCGGGCCTGACCTGGGCGATTGGGCAGCCTGGACATCATTGGGGGCCGAGATAGCAACAAGCAGCAAGAATTAAGACAGTTACAATAGGGTTGTTTCAGCCCCACGTGTAACCGTGAGGGGTCAGACAGTCACATCCTTCCTTAGAATGTGGGGGGTTATCCCTGAGAGCCTGGCCATGGGGGGGTGCACAGCCACAGATGGTGGGGAGAAGGGAAAGCCCAGTATGAGGAGAGGGTGGGCAGCAGGAACTGGGAGCAAAGGCCCTGGCCAGTGGCAGAAGAAGAGGCACAGAGAGTCTGAGGCATGGGAAAGAAGTAGGGTTGCCAGCTTTCCTGACCAGAGGGATGCCATTTGTGGCAAGAAGTGGGGGTGGCAGGGAATGATGGGAGAGAGGCACATAAGGGGCTTTTGGGAAAAAATGCAAGTAAACTACTGATATGTGCAATAAACTCAGTCTACAGGGGCAAAATGTGCCACCCTCAACTAGTGAATGTTTTCACTATGCCCATGGCAAAGGACAGCAAGTAGATGGAGTCCAGGCTGATTATTTTCAAAATCATTTTAAAAAAATAGTATAAGGTTGATTTGCAGATCCTGGTACATTCAGGGGGGAAAAGCAGGATGAGAACACTGCGGCTGCATCTAGACTGGCAAGTTTTTCCGCAAAAGCAGGTGCTTTTGCGGAAAAAACTTGCCAGCTGTCTACACTGGCCGCTTGAATTTCCACAAGAACACTGACGATCTCATGTAAGATTGTCAGTGTTCTTGCGGAAATACTATGCTGCTCCCGTTTGGGCAAAAGCCCTCTTGCGCAAATGCTTTTGCACAAGAGGGCCAGTGTAGACAACGTGGTATTGTTTTTCTGCAAAAGCCATTGGGGCTTTTTTGCGCAGAGCATCCGTGCCAATCTAGACACTTTTCCGCAAATACTTTTAAAGGAAAAACTTTTCCGTTAAAAGCATTTGCGAAAATCATGCCAGTCTAGACGTAGCCTGCTTGTTTTGGGACCCATTGTATACCCCTATTCTAAGGGTAACACACAATGGGTCTAAGATACCCTACACCAGATGTCTCCCACCACCTGCAGAGATCACCCTGCCTTTCATTTCGTGCCAGGAATTCAAACACAATGTTATTTTAACTGGCCAGCAGGTGTCACTTTGTACCACAAGAATACAACTACTGAGGCATTAATAAGGTATTAGAAATTGAAGATTACAGAGAAATTAGCATACTGTTGGCACTCAGTAAATACCAGCAAGACAGAAAATGCCCACCTGTCAACTAAGTTCATCCCCCACTGCAAGTCTCTAGCACATATTGAATGTTTAATTGATCTATGTGACCTTACCAAAAAGGCCACCATTCCAGAAGGGTAGGAGAATATAAGCACTCTGGGCCTCTTTTAGTCTGGGGATATAGTTTCCTAGATTATAAAATACTATGGGGCTGCACTCACTGCTCGCTGCCCTCACTAACCCCCAAAAGCAGCCAGAGAGGTGTACATTATACAAAAGTAAATAACCTAAATGAAACAGAGAGAAATGGAAGATTTTCATTGTGTTTTTCAGGACAACCAAGAACACAGTCTCAGAATCTTTAAGTTTCCTATTGGAGACATACAGCCCATTAAAGTTACAGGTTCAGTAACCCTGGATTGTGAGGGCTGTTCCCCCCCAATCCTTCCCCCCCAAAAAACCCAATATTAATATCTGCTATTTTGTGAAAGACATTTATTTGGGTACAAATATTCAGAGGGCTGTTCCCCCCAACCCTTCCCCCCAAAAAAACCCAATATTAATATCTACTATTTTGTAAAAGACATTTATTTGGGTACAAATATTCTAGCGGATACCTGGGAAGAAAGTTATGTCACTGAAAGTGGCTCGTATTTGGTAACACTTGAAGTTTCTAAATGCTGGAGCGAATATGGTGGTGTCAGCACAGAAAAGTGGATGCTAGAACTGTGTTCCAGGGGCAGATGTGTCTATACCCTACTCCATATGACCAATTCAGAGATCAGCCTTTTGTGCAGTCAGGGTTGGGATGACAGGAAGCATTCATTGCTCACAGCAAAATTACTGCATCGGGACATGCTCCACAACTGATGTTTGTCCTCCAAGTAGTTATAGTAAATGTTCCTATAAGAGGTGGAAAGGAGACTGTCTGTACCTAGTTTTATTACTAAGATTATCCAACCGGCTGAAATTTTATTTTTAAAAACTACCATATAGCAGTTTCCCAGCAGTCAGATGTTTGCCATTCACAATAATCTACTACAGATGGCTGCCAGATACCACACATCAGTAACATCTGCCCCTCGGTACAGACACCAGCCATTGGCTTCTGAATTGTGATAGTTCCAGAGCCAGACAACTGCCATATTTTGATTCTCTCATCCCTGCACTAAACCCCTTCTGGATCAGTTCCCCCTCACAAGGGAGTTGCTTTATCCTAACTCCAATGAAAGGGTTCTTGTTTTCGGTGGGTGACAAATGGGCCTTAATCCTCCCCCACACAGTGCAGCTGCCAAACTCCAGCTCCCATTCCACAACACCCCATCACCACTACTTCAGCAGTGTGGTGGAAGCAAGAAGGACACTGGAGTACCAGACATTTCTCTTCCTGCTTCACCCATAACCACACTGAGATCAGTACCCTGGTGGTATCGTAACCACTCTGGGATGAGTACCCTGGTGGTATTTTACCTTCTTCACCCTCAGCACCACTGTTTACACTCAGTTTTCTTT